TGTGGTATATATACACAATGGAATTCTATGCCTCCATCAGAAAGAATGACATTGCCCCATTTGTTAGGAAATGGAAAGACTTGGAAAAATTTATATTAAGTGAAGTAGACCAGGCCCAAAGAAATATAGGTCCCATAGTTTCCCTTATTTGCAATAACTAGTACATGTCTAGGACAAGCAGAAAAGATTAAAAGCTATGTACATATGACCATATAAGATTAAGTTAAGCAAAATGAATCCCAAGATAGGGACACAAATATCTTTTGTCTTTCTTGCTATTGTTTCTAACATATTTATAATGTACCATGTGATTATTTGTTTCTTTGTACGTTCCTCCCCCATGGTATAACCCCTGTTTTCATTTATTTGATGTTTGGTGCCCTGCATATTGTATATATGTTTCTCTAATTTGGGGAGGGGAAGGGAAAAAACAAAACGCTTAAACAAGGATACAGGTTGCCCCATTGTAACAATGAGATATACAAAATACTATGTTGAAAATGAACTTGGGCTGGGAAGGTGGCTCAGTGGTAGAGTGCTTGCCTCGCATGCATGAGACCCTGGGTTCAATTCCTCACCACCACATAAACAAAAAGCCAGAAGTGGTGCTGTGGCTCAAGTGGTAGAGCGCTAGACTTGAGCTGAAGAGCACAGGGAGAGCCCAGGTCTAGAGTTCAAGCCCCACGACTGACAAAAAGAAAACAATACGAAAATGAACCTTACCACTCCACGGAGGGTGGGGAGGGATGGTGGGGGTAGTTGTGGAAGTGGGAGGGTAGGGAGGGTAGGGAAAACACTGAAGTAGGAACAATGTTCAATAGGAAATGTACTCATTACCTTGCTCGTGTAACTATAACCCCTCTTTAAAGCATTTTTACAATAAAAAAGTACAAAAAAAAACAGTGCTGGAGGAATATCAATACCAAATTTCAAACCCTAGTACAAAGCCATAGTAATCAAAGTGATTATATTAATATCAGAGTAAATTTTACAGCCAAGAATATTGCTAAAGACAAAGTAATTTCATAATGATAAAGCAGCCAATTTGCAAGGAAACGAAAAATTATAAACATTTTCCCCTAGTAATAAAGAAATTAATTTTTCAAAAAGATATGATTCTAAATATTTATGTACCTGATTACAGACATTCAAAATATAAGCAAAACCAATTAAGCTTACACTGAACTGTATCTCCAGCTTCTTTGCTTATCTAGCTTTTGGACCTTCTTGACCTCCATAATAAACCAGTTATATAAACTACTATAAATACAGTTCTTATTGTTTCTGTTTCTCTGGAAATCTCAACTAACACAGAAGTAAAACACTTTAAAACTGGCCACTGATGGCTCACTCCTGTAATACTAGCTCAGGAGGCTCAGATCTGATGACAGAAGTCCAAACCCAGCCCAAACATACACATCTGTGAGATGCTTATCTCTAATTAGCCAGCAAAAAGACAGAACTGGAAGTGTGGTTCAAGAGACAGAGCACTAGGTATAAGCAAGAAAACCAACTAAGAGAGCAAGATGCTGAGTTTAAAGCCACAGTACCAACGAAGGGAGGGAGGGAGGGAGGGAGTGAGGGAGAGAGGGAGGGAGGGAGGGAGGGAGGGAGGGAGGCAGGCAGGCAGGCAGGCAGGCAGGCAGGCAGGCAGGCAGGCAGGCAGGCAAGACACTTCTACACCATTATCAACCATTTCAATCTACAGTCTAGGTATGAAGTATTCCAATCACAGTTCTTATCAAGTTCTTATCAAAATCCCATTCTTATCAAGTAAGTGCATATGAAACTTTTACCAAGGAAAATCACATGTATAAATTTAAAAGTTATATAGATTATAGAAAATTGGCTCATGAAGAAAAATTGAACTAAATTCAATGCCAACAATGAAAAGGTATTTGGGCAGGGGGAGTGAAATATGGAATGTGGCTTAGTGGTAGGTAGACTGCTTGCCTACCATACGTAACACCCTGGGTTTGACTTCTCAGTACCACATAAGCAGAAAAGGCCAGAAGTGTCTCTGTGCCTCTAGAGTGTTAGCCTTGAGCACAAGAAGCTCAGGGATGGTGCCCAGGCTCTGAGTTCAACCCCCAGGACTGGCAAATAAAAATATGGAAAGAACACGGGGGTCAAAAAAGAAATCAAAGGCAAATTAAAATGCATTCTGCAATGAAAGAATGCTATCCACATAAGAATTTATAAATGCAGCTAAAAAATAATACTCAGAGAACATTTAGAGCACTACAAACTACCTTGGGTATGCTCATTCAATCTCATGATCTATTTGTTTTAAAGACAATTATGATGCTATACTAAAAAAGGATGAAATTATTCTCCTTACCTTGGATACATTGCTGACATAATTCATTTGGACAGTACTTTCCTTATCAACTTGATTACAGAGGTTCTGTAGAGTAGATGCATATTCTTTATCACTTTTTATTCTCAAAGACATAAATTTCTTCACTGTTTCCAGTAACCGTAATTCCCAGTCTTGCAATTTTAACACAGCTTCATGTGAATTCTTCAGCTCACTCCCAAACCCCATTTTTGTAAGGCACTGCTTAACCTCCAGACTGCACAAGGGAGACTTCTCTCTAATCAGCACATATCTGTGTGTACAAACACAAGAAGAAGAAAAAAACCTTAAATGAAAGAAGCAAAATTATAATCCATTCTCTTCAGAGTTTAAAAAAAAAAAAACCTCCTCTAATGAATTCTTTCTCCCAAAGACGAGGAAAGAGATGAGGATATCTACTCTGTTGTTGACTTCTAATCAACAGTATATAGGAGGCAGTAGACATTACAATGACATGAACAAAACAAAAAAAAAAGACATTCTGAGTAGAAAGGAAGACATAAAATTATTTTTATTTGCAGTTGATATCATTTTATAAAGAAATAAGGGATTAAATAAAGAATTATTAAGACAAATAAGTTAGTTTTATAGGATTACAAAGTTTTATGGTTTGGATATGAAATACCCTCAGAGGCTCATGGGTTGAACACTTGGTCCTCAGCTGGAGCTGTTCTGGGAGGTGGTGGAAACATTAGGAGGTGGGCCTCACGAAGAAGTGCATCACCACTGCGGTGGGCAGGAGACAGTGTGCCCTAGAAGGCTATACCTCATTCCCAGCCTCTCCTGGCTCTTCCTTCTTGGCCATCTTTCTGCGGCAAAAGCGAACAGCTTCTGCCACACTTCCTCGCCATCATGGTTTTCTGCCTCATTGCAGGTACCAAAATATAGAACCAAGTCACTATGGACTGAGAAGTCTCTGAATCAAAATAAATCCTGCCTTCCTTATGTTTTTTCCCCCCTCAGGTACTCAGAGCAATGGAAAAGAAAATCAATTTTATTTCTGTATGCCTGCAACAATCAATCCAAAAATAAAATTCAGAAGCAATTCCATTTACAACATCAAAAAGCCATAATGCATTTAGGAACAAAATTTAAGACAAGTTTAATAACTTTTAAATTAATTTAAACTTGTTCTCTTCACACTATAACACAATGTTGAAAGAAACATTAAGCGGCCTATATAAATTGAGTTATGTTCAGTTAATTTTGTTAAGAAAGTGAGAATCCCCAATTTGATGGACAGAATCAATGTGTTCCATATTAGTATCTTAGATAACTTTTGCATAAATTGGCAAGCCAATACTGAAATACATAAGATAAGCCAAGAGAGCCAGGATAGCTTCAAAGAAAAATTTTGGGATTCATACTTCTTTTATTTCAAAGCTCATTAAAAAGCTATTATAATCGAGGCTCAATATGGGCATATGGACAGTTACAGAAATTAATGGACTAGATAAAGCATCCCACTAAACCTCTGCATTTATGTAAAAATATTTTTACCTCAATGAATGGTCTTGGGACAAATAGATTTCCATCACTAGCTGTAGATCCTTGACCTTGAATCTACAGAACACTAAGCCAAAATAAACTTCTTTTCTTTATAAACGAACTCTGTGGTACTATATTACTGGCAACAGAAAATAGAGCTCAGACATTGAACTATAACTCAAAAAAAGTTGTTTAAAAAAATGACTACAGCATAACTTATTATCATCTACAGGCCAGTTATCATAAACTTCCCCAACATATCCTCCTTGTTTACTATAAATCCTGAAAACTATGTTAGAATTTATTTTTTTCCTCCGGTTTCCTAAAACTTCAAGCAATGAATCTTTCAGAGCCAGCTAGAAGAAATACAGAAACACACCTATTCCATTTCAAGTTCTAGAGAAGCCTGAACAGGAGTCAATTTGTTGTCAATTGAATGCTTATCCTTTAAGCTATAAAAGGAGATTCTGATAAACAAGAAGTGATTTTTCTCTCTAACTTCTAACCATCTCAAACTATGGTGGAGGAAAAAAAAAAAGCGTTTCCAAGTAGCAAATAAACTATAACCTCCCTCAGTTTTATGAACTATCAGGTGATCAGGAGAAAATTAAATTGTTAAAAAGAATTTTGGGGCTGGGAATGTGGCTTAGTGGTAGAGTGCTTGCCTAGCATGAATGAAACCCCGGGTTCGATTCCTCAGTACCACATAAACAGAAAAAGCCTGCTAGACTTGAGCAAAAGAAGCTCAGGCAGGGACAGTGCCCAGGCCCTGAGGTCAGGCCCCAGGACTGGAAAAGAAAAATAAATCATTCAAGTTGTCAAGTAGCAATCAAGACACTAAATGGACCTTACATAGTCAATACAAAGGAAAATCACATATTCACTTGAATATCAAATAGGATAGTTCCAGAATTTCATTTTGTATGCAGCCATTCTTAAAAAGCACTTAAGAACCAGTTTAACTCAGTGGCAGACCACTTGCCTACCATGCAGGAATTTTAATACCCAATGCCACAAAAATTGTTTTACTCATTTTAACATAGCATGTATTTGGGGAGCATATTTACAGTGAACATTATTCTGTTATTTATATTCAGTTAAACTAAATCTTGGTAGAGACACATTGTATCTTATCCCATATTTCCAAAAGAGGATAAGAAACATTTTTGAAAGGAAAAAAAGGTAAAATGCTGTACTTTTTATTTAAAAAAAAACTATCTGAGATTGTAGCTCATTTTATTCTATAACCTGGTATAAATATTACATCCACTTCTAAATGCATCTTGGTGACAATTTTTTTCTCCTATTGTGAAGAACTCAGAAGGAAAACTAGGAAACAATACCTGGCAAAATCTAAAAAGCACTTTAGACTGTCCTTAGGGATTATTTCTACACACTAATATTCCAGATCAGTGAATATAACTTAATATACTGTTCTTGTCTTTAGGGAATAAATAAAAACTCCTAAAATAACTACATAAGACTATACTTAATTTTGGACTGTACAGTAATTATCCCATATATGCCAAATGACATGTGACAGACCTGTTTACAGTACATTCATTCAATGGAATATCACTCGGTCCTCCTAATATACAGGGGAAATTTTTCTGTATACTAATCTAGAACCAACATTAAGAACTGATCATTGATCCAGGTGCTGATAGCTCACACCTGTATTCTAGGTAATATGGAACCTGAAATCTGAGAGTTTCAGTTTGAAGCCAGATTGGCAGAAAAAGCCCTGAGACTCTGTCTTCAATTAACCAGCAAAAAAACTCTGCTGGAGGCATGGGTCGAGTGGTAGAATACCAGTCATAAGCAAGAAAGAATGAAAGGCCCTGAGTTCAAGCCCTGCTGCTAGCATGCACATTCGCGTGTGCACGTGCACGCACACCCACACACACCCACACAGAGGCTAGTTGAAAAAGATAACACACAACTTACTAAGCTAACTTTGTATAAAAGAGAAAGGGAGGAAGAATAGTATTCATTGTACTTTTAAATGTGTAAGGTACTAGTTCTAGAACATAGAGTAGCTTGGGTTTGTTCACATACACATATACACATAGATTTATATAAACATGTGTGAATTATTTTAAGACAGAGTCTCACTATGTAGATCAGGCTGGCCTTGAACTCATGATGGATCCCTCACCCCAAGTGCTGAGGGATCCATCATAAGTTCAAATTCATGGTCTACCATGTGTGACTTGTATATTCTTCTACTTATCTGAATGTTGTTCTGAGTCAATATATTTACATCAATCACCCAAGAAATAAAGAATTTTTAAGGACAGAAAAAAAATAGCACAGGATGAAACTACCTAGAAAGATTCCAGGAAATAATAAGACAATAAACAGAAATGATGATTATCATTTAGATTATTAAAAAGTCAAATAGGAAACATTTAAGGAAGTAGTACCATTATACAACTACAAAATTCTATACATGCTGTAGGAAAAGGAGAGAAGAAGGGAGGGAGATAGGGAAGAAGTTCAAAATCAGGATGTATGTGGCAGGCAATGGAAGACAGTGTATTGATTTATCTATTGTTATTTTTCCACTGAGGAAACCAATAAAGCTCAAACTCTTTGCATCAACTGCCTTTTAGGGCAGAATATCAATGTTATGAACATGATCCTTCAAAATGATTTATTTGCAAATACCAGTTTTGAAATTTATGAAGCTGAGCAAATGTAATTTGTGTATTTTTCTGTCTATGTAGGTAGGGGTGTGTGTGTGAGAGAGAGACACACACAGACATAAAAAGAGAGAGACAGAGACAGGGGGAATAAATTTTGATCCAGCATCTGGATATAATATGGCTTAAAGAGAGAAAGAAAATGATAAAGAGAGACCTATGACAGGCTGGGAAGGTGGCTCAGTGGTAGAGCGCTTGCCTTGCATGCATGAGGCCCTGGGTTCGATTCCTCAGCACCACATAAGCAAAAAGAAAAAA